CACATCACTCAACTCAATCTAGAATTAGGCATACATACATACCCAGAGTTTTGCTTTCTAGATGATTCTAGACCCTGCCAAGGAAACAGTATTAACCACCAGACATAGCAAAATCCTGTTGCAGAAACACACATGCCACTCCAGCCGGGAAGCAGGCAGGCTAACTACAGATTTTCACCTGTCTCTAGGCTGTTGGGGGATAGTCGATCACACTGTGAGCCCCAAGTTTGCATTTATGTTAATTAAATAAAATTTAGCCATGGGTCAGGAGGCTGAGTTAGCAACTAGTTGACAGAAAGTAATCATAGAGCACCAGAAGGCATCTGGAAGAGATAGAGAGATGCACCGGAAGTAGTAGGGAAAGATTTGGAATGGCCAAGCTTTTTTTTTTTTGTTTGGTGAAGTGGAAGCGCAGGTCTTCCATGGGTGCCAGCAAGGAGAGTGGCCAGCTGCTGCTCAGACTCTCTGAGCTCACAGGTTTTTACCCCAGTCTTTGAATTTCAAGTCTTATTCATAATTAATGTTGGGGATCTGCCCTGGAGCTGCCCTCTCCAGACCCCACAAGAAAGCCAGACAAGGGTCAACCCCTCCCCTGGGGGTGCTCAAGACCATCCTGCAGGATATTTAAGACCCGGTCACCAGACCTGCTATATGCTCTCCCTCCTGCCTTCCCAAGAGTCACCTGGGAGTTGTTTTGCTGTTTATTAAACCTGGATTTATTTAATTTGGTTGGATTGGCTTATTGCATCAGCAACAGAGGTTACCCAATAACCAGGGATCCAATACTTATCCACTTGATTTAGTTAAAGCTACCTTTAACACCAGTGACCGGGCTGGCCTAAGGGAGCAGAATTCTCACCAGGCTGCAGCCTGAGTGGCCAGGCTGCTGCTAGAGAAGCAGGCCAGTAACTTACAGAGTTGCAATTGCTGACTGAGATAGCAGTAAACTGAGGTGCAGCCCCTGTGCTGAAGTTAAAACAACACTCGGATCATCCAAATTGAATCCCCCAGTCTCTCCTCAGCTCTATAGACAACCGCCTGTTTTTGCCTCTCCCGACACGTACACACTCCATCTCCAGTGGATCCCACAGATCTTTCCCTTCCAAATTTCCTTCCTGCCACTCATTGCTTTACCCGAGCCCCTGACCTCAGCAGGCATTCCCTTGGAACCTATGGGCCACTCAAGCCAGAGAAGCAGGTAGGCTAACTGAAGAATTTTACCTCTCCCTCGGTTCCTCCAAATCCAGTCCTCCAGTCCCAACCCCAGCTCTGCAGCAGACCATCTGCTATGACTTCTCCTCCCCCTCTGCCCCCATTCCCAGGGGACTTGTGGTGGTATTCTAATTGTACTGAAATGTGATTTTGATTGTATGTTAATAAATAAAGTTGCCCGGTGGTCCAAGCTATTAGAGCCATAGACAGAGTGTGGCGGCAGTGGTGGCACACGCCTTTAATCCCATAAATCTCTGTGTGTTCAGGGATACAGCCAGCATTGGAGACATATGCCTTTAAGACCTGGGGGGCTGTACATACAGACAGTGACGAGGCAGTAACGTGTTTGGGTTTACAACCAATGAGAAGGCAGAATGACTATGAAACGACTTACACACAGGGAAATAGCTCTCTTTCGGGAAGCTAGGACCACCGCAGGAGGAAGGGTGAGATTTTAACTCTGAGCTTTGATCTCTTGGCTTTCTCTTTTACATTGGTTCTATGTTTCTTATTTAATAAGACGGTTGGTTACATCTACAGGGACTAAGCAGATCCTAATGATACACCCTGCCCTCCTCTCCTGTGGACTGCCCCCCAGGGTCCCTGTCCTAGCCCATCCCCATTCCTAAGTGTCAGAGTTCCCAATACCTAGAGACATATTTTACTTGGAATACCCCTCCCCCCAGCCACACCTACAAGATCCCAGAAGGATTTCCTACCAGGCAATAAGCAGCCACTACACTCTCCTAAGAACCAGAGAGGACAACAGAAACCAAAGCAAAACACCCACCGAACAGAGACAAGACCAGATACCAACACCTAGAATTACAATCTCCCCAAACCCAGATGCCTAGACCCCATTTTAAAAACACAATCTATTACAGCATCAATTTAAAAAAAATAAACTGAGAGAAATCTGGAAATGAAAAATTTAGGAACTCTAACAGGAACCCCAGAGGAAACCCTCACCAACAGAATACAAGAGATGGAAGAAAGAATCTCAGGCTGTGGAGACAAGACAGAAAAAAATGGATACCCCAGTCAAATAAAATATTAAGTCTAAAAAAATCCTGACACAAAAATACATCCAGGAAATCTGGGACACTATGAAAAGACCAAATCTAAAAATAATAGAAAGAGAGGAAGAGGGGAAAAACCAGATCAAAGGCACAGAAAATAATTTCAGAAGAGTCCTAAAGACAACTACCTAACGTAAAGAAGGAGATGCCTATCAAGGTACAAGAAGCATACAGAAACCAAATAGACTGGACCAGAAAAGAAAGTCCCTTTGGAAGACTTAGAGCAGGAAAAGTGGGAAGGAATTGAGAGGAACAGAGGAAGGGGAAGCTGTCATCGAGAAATAGTATATAAGAGAAAAAAATCTATTTTCAGTAAAAGAGAAAAAAGAGAAAACAGAAATTTAATAACAAGGTTCACAATTGAAATTGTCCACTGCATGAAATTTTTTCAATGGAAATTCCTTCTCTATGAAAAAAAAAGTGTTACTGTCAATACTCCTCAAATTATTTCACAAAATAGAAACAAAAAGGAGCATTGCCAATTAGTTTTACGAGGCCACAGGTACCCTGTTACCCAAACCACATAAAGACCCAACAAAGAAAGAGAATTACAGACCAATTTCCGTAATGAACATAAATGCAAAAATTCTCAATAAAATACTTGCAAACTGAATCCAAGAACACATCAAAAAGACCATCCACCATTATCAAGGAGGGTTCATCTCAAAGATGTAGAAATGACTCAAAATATGTAAATTGATTGATGTAATCCAATATATAAACAAACTAAAACACAAAACCACATGGTCATCTCATTAGATGCAGAAAAGACCCTTCACAAAATCCAACAATCTTTCATTGATAGAAGTCCTGGAGAGATTAAGGATACAGGGACATACCTAAACATAATAAAGGCAGTTTACAGCAAGCCTGTAGTCCACATCAATTTAAATGGAGACAAACTCAAAGCGATTTCACTAAAATCAGGAACAAGACAAGGTTGTCCACTCTTTCAGTCTCTACTCAATATAATACTAAAAGTCTTAACTAGAGGAATTGGGAATAAGACAACTGAAGGTGATAAAGAGGATACAAATTGGAAAAGAAGAAGTCAAAGTATATTTATCAGCTGATGATATGATAGTATATATAAAAGACAATAAAATTTTCACTGTGAAACTCCAATAGCCAATGAACATTTTCAGTAAACCAGCTGGATACAAAATACACTGACAAAAATGAGTGTAACTCCTATACAAATAACAAATATACTAACAAAGATGTCAGGGAAATAACAACCTTAACAATAGTCTCACATAATAAAGTATCTTGAGGTAACTCTATACAAACAAGTGAAAGAATAATATGATAAAAATTTTAAGACACTGAAGAAGTTGAAGACAACATCAGAAAGTTGAAATCTCTCCCATGCTCATGGATAGGTAGGATTAATACATTGTTAAAATGGCCCTCCTACCAAAACCAATCTATAGATTGAAAGAAATTCCCATGAAATTTCCAAAAGAGAACTTCACAGTCCCTGAAAGACCAATTTTCAGCTACATATGGAAATACACACACACACACACACACACACACACACACACACACACACACAAACCTAAAGGACAGACAAAACAATGCTGAATAATAAAAGAACTTCCAGAGATGTCAACATACACAATATCAAGTACTACTAAAAAGTTTTACGAATAAAACAACATTGTACTAACAAAAACAAAACAACTTGATTAATGGAATTGAACAGAACACCCAGACATAATTCGAAACACCAATGGAAACTTGATTTTTTATTTTAAAAAAAAAGATATATACATTAGAAAAAGAAAGCATCTTCAACAAATAGTGATTGATATAAACCATTTCAATGCTCGTATTAAATATATTTAGACTTACACGAGGAAAAAAAAAATATGTTCTAAAGGATGAGGGACCAAAATGAAAACAGATAAACTAAACCTGGTGTAGGATCTCATAGGTTATATACACAGACACCTGGGTTAGGGCAACGACAGATTAGGAAGCAAATTCACACCATGAGAGAGGGATGTCAAGAAAAAATTCACGAACTGCTCGAAAGGCCTCTCCTACTTTCGTCTGTGCCACAAGCTGGAACCGCAAATCCCGCCGTCTGGTGTCCAAGCAAAGGCCCAGAAGTTGGGGTGGAGAGTCCGGCCTCCTGCAGCTCCCATAGAGGTAAGCGGCGTTTGCGGCTTTATCCAGAACTGGTGCCCCAAAAGTCCAATCAAAGACCGTGCTACAATCTTAACTGGTATTAAAAGAACTCGGGAACAGATATATGGGATCGAGGAGGGTTTTGAACCCTCTCTCTGGCGCTAGGAGGGAAAGCGTGTGTTCCATACCCCCTGGCCCCTACGTTTAATCCCCTGAACGGCTGTGTCCCCAGAGACTCGGACAACCTTTTATTGATACATAAGATATCGCGACCTTTCTGCCCCACCCAAACCCACCCCACACAACCCCGAAACACACCTCAACCACGGTTTTGTTTTGTTTTGTTTTGGGGGGGGGGGTTGTTGGGAGCAAATGACAAAACAAGTCCACAACCAAAATGCAAGAAAAACCATTTATTGAGAGCGTATAAAATATGTGCCGTCAAGCATTACATCCAATAAACCCGGCCCTCCTGTCAGTTCCTCCCCGCACCCGTCGGGTTTCTCCTCCTGTTTGGTCCCGGTGATTTTGGCAGAGATGTGGTGACTTGAACAAGAGTCCAAGAGGCGGGCTTCAGTCACAGGTCTCAGGAGCCGCCTCTGCCATGTAGGCGTCCAATTCAGCGTCCAGGGACGACTTGGTTTGCCACATGTATGCATCCAGTTCTGCGTCCAGCTGCTCCTTGGTCAGTCCCGGGCGAGCGAGGGCACCTCTACGTCGGCCCCTTCCGCGTCCACGTCCACGTCCCCGCCCACCGCCACGTCCTGGGCCTCCAAAAGCCCCTCTTCCACGACCAAACACGGCCCGACCTGGGGGTGGCATCCTGCCCCCGGGCGGAGCCCTGGCGGCAGGTGCCCCACCTAGTCCTCCTCCTTGGGGCACATCTGTCTCGGCCATGGCTGCGCCTCTTCCTCCTTTCGCTCCCCTGGCAAAGGCACCCATGGGACCTCCTAAACGGACTTGTCTGCTCCTCGAGGCCCGGACTTTGGCGGCCATCAGCTGTGGCAATCTGTTCTTCCGCAATCGAGAAAAACGCTCATTGAGAGACATCTTGGTGGTGCCTCTGAGCACAACTCTGCGCACTGGCCCTGCGGGCCTCTTCAGATCCCGAGAATCCAGGGAGCTTAGCTGCCTGGCGGGTACGAGGCGAAGCTCTCTCATCGTGGCTTGGCTCTCTAGAGCGGCCGGCCCTCTCCTGCCTTTCGTCTGTGCCACCAAAGCTGGCACCGCCAACCCCGCCGCACCTGGTATCCAAAGCAAAGTCCCTGGCCTCCTGCAGATCCCGCACAGGCGAGAGAACCGGTGCCCCAAAAGTCCGATCAAAGAGGGCGCTCCGATCCTAACCTGTCTTGATAAGAACCCGGGGCCAGATATCTGGGGTGAACACCCAAGGGTCAGAGAGACAGAGGACCAAGCCCCAGCCACCTCTCACCTATTGCACCAGTCCTCCGACTCGACGCCTGGGAGTCCTCAGTCCAAAAGGCGTGGAGTTCCTGTCTCTTCCCGCCTTATATACCCAACTGGGCCACGTCACTTCCTCCTTCGTGATGGGAGTGGTGATCACGTGACGCCCAAGGACTAGGATTAAGGGTGTGCCTCCACCCTGGGGCGCTGTTTCTCTCTTACACTGAGTCCATCCCCTGTGGTCCAGGGTGGCTTTGAACCCTCTCTCCAGCGCTAGGAGGGAAACCGTGTGTGCCAAACCGCCTGGCCCCTACGTTTAATCCCCAGACCGGCTGTGTCCTCAGAGCCTCGCACAAGCATTTATTACTACACAGGATATCGCCACCTTTCTGTCCACCCATCCCACCCCACAGATACCCGAACCCACAACCCAAACAACATTTTATTTGGGGGGGGGGGGTTTTGTTGGGAGGAGAATAACAAAAGTATTCCACAACCATAATGGAAGAAAAACCATTTATTGTGAGCGTATAAAATATGTGCCGTCAAGCATTATATCCAATAAACCCGGCCCTCCTGTCAGTTCCTCCCCGCACCCGTCGGGTTTCTCCTCCTGTTTCCTCCTGGTGATTTTGGCAGAGATGTGGTGACTTCTTGAACAAGAGTCCAAGAGGCCGGCTTCAGTCACAGGTCTCAGGAGCCGCCTCTGCCACGTAGGCATCCAATTCAGCATCCAGGGCCGCCTTGGTTTGCGACATGTATGCATCTAGTTCGGCGTCCAGCTGCTCCTTGGTCAGTCCCGGGCAAGCGAGGGCACCTCTCCGTCGGCCGCGTCCCCGCCCACCGCCACGTCCTCGGCCTCCAAAAGCCCCTCTTCCACGACCAAACACGGCCCGACCTGGGGGTGGCATCCTGCCCCCGGGCGGGACCCTGGAGGCAGGTCCCCCACCTAGTCCTCCTCCTTGGGGCACATCTGTCTCGGCGATGGCTGTGCCTCTTCCTCCTTTCGCTCCCCTGGCAAGGGCACCCACGGGACCTCCTAAACGGACTTGGATGCTCCTCTCACCTGGGCGCCCCTCGAAGCCCTGCCTAGGATTTAACGCTGCCTGGACAGAGGGTCTCCTCTCCATCTGCAGGGCCAGTCTTCTGTTTCTGGCACTGCCCAGCTGCTGCTGCCGCCTCTTCGAGGCCCGGACGTTGCCCGCCATCGGCTGTGGCAGTCTGTTCTTCCGCAATTGAGCAAAACGCTCATTGAGAGACATCTTGGTGGTGCCTCTGAGCACAACTCTGCGCAGTGGTCCTGCGGGCCTCTTCAAATCCAGATAATCCAAGGATATGCATGCCTTTGGTACTTCTGTGCCTCCTTTCATGGCTACCGCAGTACAGCCCTGGTGAGGTTGACAATATAACTTGAGCTGATGGTGTCCTCCTTGGGGTCTGTGTTTATATAGCTGGACTTTTGGGGTTGTTGCCTACACTTTACGAAGGGAAGCTCACTCTGTTTGGTTTTGGTATATAGTTATTCCATCCTTTGGCTCCTGGGGCCTTCCCTCTCCTGCTTTTCATGTGTGCCACCACAATTGGCACCACCAACTCCTGTTTTTGTCCAAAACCTTGTTCTAAATAGTGGGTAGTAGGCTCCTCTCTTACA